GGGGCAGTAACTATAGTAACGCAGTGTAGGCGGAGCCGTGACGTCATCTTCAATGAGAATCAGCCATTAGCTGTTAGCCCTCAGAGCTCACGGCTCCTCATATCTGTTCAGAAACTAGACCAAAGTTAAACAAGTACAAACCAAAGACTGTCTGTGTCATGGCGAATACAGTCGCTGGTTTATTTATGTATGTAGGCCGTTGTTGTGAGTGTGGACGGTCGGAGCATATACTGCGTTAGCTTAGCCGATCTCCATTCAGAAAACACGCATTTTAAAAGGTGTTTCGCCTGCCGTCTGTCTGCAGACTTGTCAAAGCATTAATTCATGGTTTTTACTATCCGGTATCAGTATGTTGTTACTTCGGCATCATTTTGAAACGCTTATTACAATTAACTCACGGTCAAATATGTTCATCTTGTTGTAGTTGTAGCCCCCTTGCAAGCGATTCTCTCTCTAGTTTAGCATACTCAGCCCGACTCAGCCCGGTTGTTGGCCCGGAAAGAACCTCGATTTTATGGGGCCAGAACTGTGAAATAGTACCCGCTATATAGTACCCGCTAGCCGGAACTACACCAAGTGGAAACGCAACCAAAAACGGCACGCTTAAAGCGAGCTCCGAGCTGAAGTGGAAATGCGCCATTCAAGCGTTTGTGAGGATATAGTGGTTTCAAGATTGGCTTTAAATTCCATATCTTTGTGCCATGTCAGGTAAGAAAATACACAAGGACGTCCAAGGTAGCTTAATCATCAAGGCTCTTCTTTCCACTCAGCACAACTTTTTTCAGTTTTCTGTGAAGGCTGGATTGTCCTCTTCTTCATCAAAGCTCACGACTTGTCTCTGATATGAAAGCAAATAAACAAGATGTCAGACTTAGCAAACACAATGTACTAAGTTCACCCAGAATGCAATATAGATTGACGAACTAGACTTACTTTTGGGTAGGAGTACCCATCAATGCTGTTGCTCCTCCAAATGTGCACTTGGTCCTCGGTGGTTTTCTGGTAAACGGGGTTGTCAAAGTGGATTGTGTTGGTGTTTTTCAGCCTGTAGTTCCTCCATAGTAGCACGCCACCAATAGCCACCAGACAAATGATCGCTACAAGAGGCAGACATTGGGAGAAAGATTAGACATTAGAAGCGTTATTACTTAAAGTATTTTGTAGTTTCTGTGAAGAAGCCACCTTTGCAGAAGCTTCCTAAGCAACTCACCCAGAGGTAAAGCTATATACAGAGCTACCGGCGTGGTGGAGGCAGCGTTGGGTACAGCAGCGGCAAATTCATGTGGGATATCTGAAAAAAGATAGGAAGGTAGGAAGTTAAGGGTACATGGAGCTGACCAGCACTTCACACAAGACATTTTTGTAAACATGTCCGCGTGGATTTCAATGTCCCGGACAAATGGGAGGAATTGCGGTCATCCATGTTTATCATTTAGCTTAAAAACAACAGATAGGAAGGCTACATGAAGAGTGACTTCATCAAGGCATTCAAATACATTTCAAAACCAAGCTTATTATTTTCAACAAACATTTTGACCAAAGAGTTCTAAATTTGTCGGACCTCGAATTTTTTCCCGTCCAGCTAAAGTCGGGCTAAATTCGGGCTAACGGTAACACTGAACCCAAGCGAAGGACAAGACACTCAAACAAAGCAAACTATGTAAAAATGGTCAATGCTTCAAAGTAACTAAAAGTTCTCCGTATCAAAAAAGAACACGGTCAAAAGACTATACCGCTTCCTGTCGAATCACAATCAGCTGTGTACCATTGTCATGCCATATATAGAGACTTAAATTAACATATTTTAAAGTGTAGTGTGACTCAAAAAAATAAATAGTTAAGAGTTTACTCTAAAGTCTTATATTAATAAGACAAACATTTAAACCATAATGATGAAAGGGAAATGGCTCCAACAAAGTGGTTACACAATTTGACCTCTGAACATTTCACAAATTCCACTGTTATGGTGCCTACCTGGAGATGTGACTGGAGCCCCTGTGGTGGTCTGGGGGATTTTAGGGTTCACCGGCCTGGGTGACGGGACCTTTGGTTCTGGGGTGGTGGTCTTTACTGGAGGTTTGATGGTGGTGCGTGGTGCTGGCCTGGCTGCAGTGGTGCTGATTATGGGAACTGGGGTGGTACGAATCAGGGGTTTAGGGGTGGTACGGATTTGGGGTTTAGGGGTGGTACGGACCAGGGTCTTGGGTGTGGTGCTGGCTGGAACTGGAGGGCGACGAGGAGGGTCTGTAGCTGGAAGCTGAGGCTGCACAGGAGCTTCAGGCGTGGGCACGGCTGGTAAAGAACAAGGAATGAGAGTCAAAAAACTAAATACAAAATTCTAATTAGAAGATTGTAGGGAAAATTCTGAATGTGCCCTTCCAATATCAGAGTAACATGATATCAAAGGTATCCCAACTGTAGCTGTGAACATGACAGGATGTGTGATTACCTAGAAGAGCATCAGGACTGTTTGAGGCATATGATAGCTATGTGATTAACATGATGATTCAGCCTCTATGGAGAGAGACATATGACAAGCATGATCATTTCTGACGTGGAGCTAATCTGAAGTAAACATTGAATACTGCTTTCTATTCCTCCATCTTGTGACTGTGGAACTCCCTCTCTTGGATATCAGCATGTGAAGGACACTGTTCAGGAACTAGTTGATGCTCTGTATGTGATGACTACTTCCATTCTGGAGAGGATCACAGATACATGGATCCTGAGATTCAAGCTCAAGCCGGGGACCAGGGATTATTAACATTTTGAAGTATTTAGAAAAATACTTTTGAGAAAAATTACAAAAAATTGAGATTCTGAGTAAAAAGTCAGGATTTTTTTTGAAAAGACAGAATTTAGAGATTTTTAGAAAAAATACAGAATTTTGAGATTTTTAGAAAAAAGACAGGATTTTGAAAAAAAGACAGAATTTTGAGATTTTTATGGAAAAATACAGAATTTTTAGATTTTTAGAAAAAAAGACAGAATTTTGAGATTTTTAGAAAAAATACAGAATTTTGAGATTTGTACGGAAAAAGTCAAGATTTTTATGGAAAAAAATACAGAATATTTGAGATTTTGAGTAAAAAGTCAGGATTTTGAAAAAACGACAGAATTTTGAGATTTTTGGAAAAAAAAGTCAGGACTTTTTTCGAAAAAAATACAGAATATTTTTGAGATTTTGAGAAAAAAGAAAGAATTTTGAGATTTTGAGAAAAAATACAGAATTTTGGATGTAACTCCATCTCTTGGATATCAGCATGTGAAGGACACTGTTCAGGAACTAGTTGATGCTCTGTATGTGAAGACTACTTCCATTCTGGAGAGGATCACAGATACATGGATCCTGAGGTTGAAGATCAAGCCGGGGACCAGGGAGATTTTTCTAACAAATATATTTTCAGTTTTCTTGATATAATAGTGCAGTATATTTACATACCAGGTACGCATGACCTCATATCCCGGGCTAGCATCATGTTATCTGAACACACACATGTGTATTTGGGGGGGTGTCGGCCCACTTGAGGAGCTGCCAGGCACAAGTATTCACAGCCGGAGACCTGGCACCAATCCCTGCCTGCAAGAAAAAGAGGGCGACATTTTGTTTAGCTCCATATGTATTGAAGACACTTTCACAGTTATCATTAAAGCTGGTACAATTGTAAAGGTCCCCTATTATACTGTTTTTCATCAATATATCACAGGTCTCAGATATATCCAGAGCCTGTCTCTGATTGGCTGAAACACCAAACAG